AGCCAGGGACGGAATCTGCCAGAAAACCCATATTTTCTGTCTCCCGACGACCATGTACTTGCGTATAGTCTGTCTGTCTGTCTGTCTGTCGTTCCACCCCCACCCCCCCACACACACACATACACACATGCATGCATGCATACACACTCACGTATACTATTATGCATACGCACCCACACACACGCGCGCGCGTACACACACAAGGGGAGAAAGAAAAAGAATGAGAAAAAGCGAAAGAGAGAGAGAGAGAGAGAGAGAGAGAGAGAGAGGGGGGAGGGGAGAGAGGGAGAGAAAGAGAGAGACATAGAGAAGAAAATCGAGGTCTCGAACAGACTATACTGTACTTGAAACCAAAGAGACTGGAACCGAACGGATGAGAGTTTTACGGTGCTTTTGGGACTTAGCTTTACCTTGCTATAAAAGTGCCAGTGATTTACCGGACCATGGCACGACAGGGACAGCACAGGCAGATTGATAATTTATCGATTACTAGTAAAGAACTGGGAAACAATGAATGTGGTCACTGCCAAAGGGAGATTGTGTTTCTCAGTCCTGTCATTTCCCCGTTTTGTCCAGTTGTGCGATGTCCCAAGATGAAGTTGGTTGTGAGGTGTGGGTTTAAGGCCCGTTCAACACTATGGGGCTGTTTAACTCTTTAGAGTGGGCACATATCGCTACCTCAGAATTGCAACGTTCTATTTACATTTTTGGCCGTCTTGGGTTATTAAGATTATGAGGTCAGAAATCAAACGCTCTCTCTGCTCTATGAAAATCGTAAGATTATTCGGAGTCGTTATCAAAATATTCAAAGAATCATTGCTTTAAAAAAAAAACTTGAAATATTGTGAAACTCAATTTTTTAATTTTTTTTTTGGGTATCAAATTTCTCAAAACTAAGTACTGAGCAGATAGGACGTTGTAATTACGTGTATAAGGTCGAGATATGTCCGATCGACAGCTGACCAAAGTCATTTTTGAGAGGTATTTCGAACCATCATACACAAATCAGAAACACTTATTTTCATCTTTCATAGAACGAATGTTGTTCACCCGCCTCTTTAAATTTCAGATAAAGAAAAGAGAATTATAAAGCCTGTATGTGCAACGAAGTTATGCCTCGAAACAGCGAGTCTTCCACAAATTAACGCCCTTTCCCGATAGCACAACGTCAAGTGGCGTTGGGTATCTACAAATTAACGGCATTTTCTGATAGAACAAGTCAAGCTAGTGTAGGATATCTACGAATTAAAGTCCTTTTCCGACAGCACAGGGTCAAGTTGGTGTAGAGTATTGATAACTATATGGGTTTAACGCCCTTTGTAACACTGTAAGGTTAGTCAAGAGGCAGGACTTCTGAATTTCACATTAATCTCCGATAGGGCCGAGTCAAATGGGAGGAGAGCCTTGACTCCAAAAAAAAAAGCACTTCACGTTTAAAAATCCCATAGAAGGATTCAAACCAGGGTCAACCGCTCCGTAGTCCAGCATGATACCAATCGAGCTAGCAGTGGGCTCGTATGCGTAGAGCCTTGAAACTCAAATCAAGTTCAAGAGTGCCTCATACGGAATTCAAACGAAGATCATGGGACCAGCGCGATGC